ACAATTGGGTGCATTACTTTTCAAGTGGAACAATTTTTGAAGATATATGATTGAATATTGTTGTTTACAATAAAAATTTTTTTTTATTATCATCCATACGAAAAGAAAACATCGAATAAACGTTTTGAATGTTTATCTAAAGAGATCACCGTTACCCTTATTTTAAAACGAATAGTATCTGTTTACAAAAAATGAAATAAAGAAAAGGAAAAAGAAAAATATGGGTAAGAAGAATAGTTAGAAGATGATAAGTATTAATCTAGTTTGAAAAAAAAGAAACATATACACTTATAAATATGCAACGAAATAAAATGAACGTATATATATATATATATATTTATGTATATCATTTAATTACCATTGACTTGTTGTCGTAAAGCGCGTCCTTCGTCAACTCCATTTTGACGTTGTAAACGAAGTAATTTTGATTCTTGACGATCAAGACGTCGTTTTTCAAGTAATTGTTCATGACGAACAAGATCAGATTTTTCTTCTGTTTGAAATAATGTTGCACGATTTTGATTTTGATGTTCATCTTTCTTTATCCAATGTCCATAGAGAAGAAAAGCTGCTGAATCAATCATTTTACGATAAGATTTAAATCGATATGGATTTTCTAATAATTCTTTTCCTCGTATAGGTTGTGGTCTATAATGTAATGTTCGTAAACGATGTATTGACCAAATAAGTATAATATGTGCTTTAAGTGTTCTTTTAGCCATAAAATCTCTACGTCTTGTTCGTTCATTATTAAAAAATGGATGTTCAAGTGCTTGTGCAGCTGTATAACGTTCAGATGGTTCAATATCTAATAGATGATGAATTAAATCTTTTGCTGTTTCAGAAACATCATCCCATTCAGAGCCAGCCATTGTATATTGACCATCCATAATCATACGAAACATTAAATGTTGTTTACGATGCCAAAAAGGTGGTAAACCACTAAGTAATGTAAATAATATAACACCACATGCCCATAAATCTACTGGAAGACCATAACCAGGCATATCATCATATTGAGAACATCGAAGTAATTCAGGTGCCATATAACCAGGTGTTCCAAAAAGATCATATAATGATTCATTTTCTGATATTTGTACTGCAAAACCAAGATCAGTTATTTTAACATTCATTGTTGAATCCATTAAAATATTTTCTGGTTTTAAATCTCTATGAACAACATGATGGGAATGTAAATGATTTACTGCATTTAATATACTTGACATTATTTGACGTGTACGTTTTTCTGACAAATGAACAACTTTAGTGAGATAATCAAATAATTCTCCATTTGGACATAATTCCATAACAATAAATACATAATTTGGTGTTTCAAATGATGCGACTATATCGATAATATTTGGATGTCCACCAACTAATTTCAATATTTGAATTTCACGTAACGTTGCTGAACGTTCAAGATCATTATCATCATTAAATTCAATTATTTTACAAGCGTATTCTTTTCCTGTTGCTTTTTCTACACATTTACGAACAACTGATGATAAACCTTTTCCAATAACTTCTTTTGGATCATATTTTTGATAAAATTGTCGAGCTTTAAAAATAAAATTGAAAACTGAAAAATAATTAATTTTCTTTTTTCTAACATACCAGATTCACGATCTGGTAATTCATCATCAATATCAAATGCCATAATACAACTCTTTCTATTTTTTTGAACAAAAACAAAACTATTTGATTGCTTATTAATACATTTTGTGTCTCATTACATATCTAAAAATATTTTATCATCAGTTTTTCTAAACATGAAAACGGATTTTTATATATTTAAAGAAATAAAAGATCGAAATTTCATATTTTCTATTGTCATTTTTATATTTTGATCGCAATATGGTTTTATTTTAGCGAAATGACAAATTATGTTAACAATAAGAAATGTTCGTTTCTATGTTGTTTATTTTAATTTTGTTGTTGATCATTATCATCATCACTAGCATCATCTTCACTGTCAAAAGAATTCTCAGGTATACTGTAGATCTAAAGAAGAAGATTTATATTTTTTTAATGAATGATTTCTTAAATATAAAAAAAATGATTTGTCTTACTCGAAGTGTTGGCTAAAAAAAGAAAAATTAAATTAAATTAATAAATATATTATAAATATATTAAGAAGAATGACATAATTAATATCTTTATGAGATAATTAACTATACAAATCAATGTGTGTCACTTTTAAGAGTGTAAACCATATGAATCTCGGTTAACAGACTATAGTCTTTTATTACGTATTTAACTTTTTATGTTATTTATAATTCTCGTACTTAAGTATTTATGTTCATCCCTCAGTAATCTTTGAATTTATATTTTTAACTTGTACTTATTACTATTAAAATTTTCAAATTCAATAGATCTCTTATCAATTAGTAAACATAAATATTAATTAATGTCATTCTTCATTATACACATTTTCTATATATTTACTTTCATTGGATCCTTTGTAATTAAATAACGACCATCAGGTTTACCCATAAACAAATCAACCAATGCTTTAAAAAGAAAAAGTAATTTTTTTTAAATTAGTTTCAATTTAAATCAATAAAAGTAGATTTACCTCGTACAATACCCCAACCATTATCCATATTCAAAGCCATTTGTGTTGCAAATTCTTGTGGTTTAAAATTTTGCATACCAAGTATTGTATGACGAGATGCATCTTTAAAATTTTGACGTGATACATAACCGAATTTCATTTGATCTGAACCAGCCAAAATGGCACATGTTGTCCATTTAGCTAATTTAAATCCATTATTACGTAATTCAGCTGCTAAAACAGCACCTCGTTGCATATCTAATTTCGTTCTCCAATCCAAACCACTACCAATCTATGAAACAGAAAAATAGTTAAAATAAATTTCATTTAAATTTTTTCGAATACCTTAGGATTCCATTCATTTATTGCTTTGATATTAACAAATTGATCTTCACCGTTGGGTCCAGTTTGAACACAATCTTGTTCACAACGAATAACAATAACTTGATTACCACCTAAATCCCATGTACGATAACGATAAGCAACTGATGCTGCTTCACTTTCTTCATCTGGTTGAATAAATGGATTTGGATTTGGAAATTTATAACGTTCTTCATTCATTTTAAGAACTTGTTGTGCAAAATTATGATTGATAAAAACAGCTTCCATTCCAAGATTTTTTGCTGAATCCATTGTACCATCTTCTGGTGGTGGTTCATTAGCAGTTTCATTGACCGTTAACATATCAATTGTTGAATCTTCACGTTTATCAAAAAACAAACGTGAACCTAATTTATCAACAACAATATCCCATGGATAAACAGATCTTGTACAACACATTAATGTTGAAATGATAGCATCGGTAGCAAAAACATTTCCACGTGTTTTACAGATCTGTCGAATAACTGGATCCTTTGTTGTTGTTATTTTATGTATTAAACGATTGACCATAACTAATTTCTTTTCACTCTTTGTTGATATTCGATCATATCGTTTATCATAATATTCAAGTGAACCCCAAACACTCCTAAACAATTAAACATTCGTAGGATTTATATAATGAATATTCTATGCAATTGAGTCTGTAATAGTAAAAATTAATAATCCATATAGACTTACAATTCTTCTGGTTCACCAACATTCGGTGAATTAAGTTTGGCCAAAGCACTAAATGGAATTTCATCAATAACTTGCCAGTCTTCTCGTACACGTACAGATGGTTCACGTTGTTTTGCTTGTTGCTTTACAATGATAAAAATTTAAAGAAATCTATGTTTAAAAATATTTTCTTACATGTTGACGTGGATCAGCTCGATTTCCGTATTGTTTTTGCCATTTACGCATTTGTCGCATTTGATCCCTGTTAATAATTAGAATTTAAAAATAAAAATAAATGTAAAAATTAGAATATTTACATTTCTAAATTTTTCATTGTTTTTGATTTTTTCTGTGTACCAACAAATGCTTTTTGCATTGTAGGAAAACGACCATTTTGCATTTGTTGTGGACGAAAACGCTAATTTAAAGAGAAATAATTCCTAATTATTAATTCAATTAGTTAGTTACATTTTGTTGAAAACGTGTTCGTTTTTGATAAGCTGGCTTAGGTAAACGAGTTGAATCAACAAGTTGAAATGTATTTTCATCATCTTCATGAATATATTGATACATTCCAACACCAACACCATATTGCGAACGATATCGATCTAAGAAAAATCAATTACAGATATACTCTTCCTAGAAAATATTCATTTCTTTTACTGTTATTTCGTTTATCTCCATAGACGGTGCCTGTCCAATCAGCAACCTAAAGTTTATTTTAAAATAAATCAATAATAAAGTATAGTATAAATATTTATATATATCATACTTTGCCTAATTGATCACTCTTTGAATAAGGTTGATAAGGCATATCTTTATATTGAAATGTGTCATCAGTTGGACCCCAACCGTCTTTATTTTCAACAACAAGCGGTGCTTCAAAATGTGCTCCTGGCATGGTTTCTTTTTTTATTTTTAGGATAGATTAAAAATAAATCTATAAAAAATAGAAGCATTTTTCATCTGTATACATTTGATCAGAAAATTCAATTTGAAAGTGAACAATTGATGATTATAAATTATTTCTTCAACATAATCAATATATTCGGTACATTTCTAATTTACTTTCATATTTTCCTTTGGGAATTGTCAAAACATTTATTTATAAAACATATTACTTACAGTAATTGACATATTTCAAATAAATTTCATCTAGTTTTTAAGCGATAATATTCCAAAAACTTCTAAAAGATTCACTTACATAAATTTCCATATTAACATACCGTCAATTGTATAAATCTATTTAAAAATATTATCTACAAATAACAAAAACATGTGTATATATTTCATAGAAATATATTTTATATTAAATTATTATGTTTTTTTAGTATGAGAAGAAAGTGTTTGTAATCTTTTTTGTTTTTGACGCGCACGTATTCTTTTATGTTTTTCTTCACTTGTTAAAGAATTTTTTTCACGTAAAGATTTTTCCCATTCACGACGATGATGAACATATAATTGCATTGTTACACGAGCATCTTCTACCTATGAAAAAAAATATTTAAATAAAATTTTTCTTTATCTATAATAATAACTTACAGAATCATGTGCACCAGTTTGAATTTTTAAACCAAGTACTTTATCAGCAAGTGATTTTAATGATGGTAAACCACCATTAAATAATGATCGAAAACCTTTATAACGTTGTGTATCTCGAATAAGTCGTTTCGGATGACTTAAAAATAAAACCTTAAGAAAAACGAAAATCTCTTATTTTATCAATATAATTATTAAAATAATTACTTGAAGATCATTATGTATAGCATGACCAACAAGTAGTCGATGTTCAATTATATCTGATACTTCTTTCTGAATAACTTCAAGAGGAATTGCTAAATAGATTAAATAAAAAAAAGATATTTCAAATAAATATATATATATATTGTTTGTTATTAGTAAACCATTTTCAAGATGTTTTTCTGTTACTCCACTAACTGCTGTTCGATAATCAACAACAGGTTCGGTTGGTTTAACATGTTTATCATAAAGACATTGACCAAGTTGATTAACTATAGATATACGTGCAAGCATATTCTCAAGACCCATTTCACCAACACCAACCATTTCACAATCAAGACATACGGCTTTTGTCAATCTATTAGATATTACATAATTACTTTATGAATCAATAGAAAATGAAATTTTTACTTTGGTGCTTTAACAGTAGTTTCAGACATTTCAATTAGTTTCTTTTTAATTTCACTGACTGGTATTTTTGCCTATATCAATATAAAAAAAAATTTTCAAAAATAAAATTACGAAATAATTCATACCGATAAATTCTTCCAATTCGATGAGATTTCATTTGTATTAATAATTATCGACATAATGCTATTAAAAAGAATAAAAGCACTAAGAAAAGTTTTTTTTCTCCTAGTCTGGGTTTTACATTTCGCAACTTATTCATTAACCAATCATATTTATTGTTGAAGAAAAAATTCTTAATATATGTGGCGCCTTTATTTTATTGTAAATCTCGACATCTATTGCAAACTAAGAGAAAGAATACTAGTCAGTATGGAAGAAGAAGAAGTAGTCAAAAATGATCTAAAACATTCTTCATCTTTCTGCAATTCAAGTATGACTACGGTAAGTGTTCTTAAAATAACGTTATTTTTTCAGCATATAGTTCTACTCTAATTATTCTAGTCTGATGAAGAATTACCGGTACCACGCTTACAAGATAAATCTTCAATGTTAATGACAAGTCTCATTACTAGAACTTCACCATTATCGATATCATCTCAAACAACAGATAATACAAATAGTAGGACTATTCACATTTCAATGTCTCGTTTCATTCTTTGCATGATATTGGGTCACATAGCCTAAATACCGATGTCAATAGCTAGTCACTATATCATAATATTCTGTAAAATCATATCTATTTTTTTTATTAATGAATGCATGTTCTAGGATTTTCAAGATATTCAGTATAAAAAGTTAGTACAATATATTGAACTTTTTAAATAAGTATTCTTTTTAAAATTTTCCTATGACATATTTTATTTTTGTAAAGTAGTATTATTTTCAATTTTGATTCAATTTAATTCATTATTCGAAAATTTTCATTTTAAAAATACAATATTCTAACTAATTTAAGGGTTTGTTCAAAAGATTTAGGGTATTGAGAAGAAATGTTTACTTTTACCATCTTCTACGAAAAAGTTAATTGAATTTTCTTTTATTCTTTTTCATATTTATTATTTTCAAAGAACACATAGATAAAATAGAGAAAAGAAAATTTAAAATAAGCTGCTCTTTCCATTCGCAGACAAAAGATACTACCTAAAAATAATAGGAGAGATAATTGAAAAAATTCCTTTTGTTTATCTATGGAGCATTAACGAAAATACACTGGATTTTTTTACGACAAGTTATTGTACATAAAATGAATTTGTACAAAAAAAAGGCTCATAAAAATCTTCTTTTAATAAGACATGAAAAGAAATTTTTTTACAAAATATACAGTAATGATATTGTTAGATACATGTTTTACGTTTGCATGTCCGTAATAAAATGGCAATTAAATAAATCTTTTTTGAGATGTTTCTCTACTTTATAAGTCATATCAATAAGAAAAATATGAGTGTAAACAATGAGTATCAACTAATGAGATTTCCTTATGAATCAATGATAGTATATGAGTTAATACTGTCATATTTGAATCTTCAATCATTCTAAATACTTCAATCTAGTTCTTTATATGACAGATGTTACTTCATTGATGTAATACCTATAAAAATGAAAATTTTAGAAATTGGGTATGAAGCTAAAAATAAACATTCAACCTAGTGATAGTATCATAACAGTATTCAGTTTTTTGACTTATGTTCATAATGCTTATTAGTTTATTAAAAATAAACGTTTAATGAGGTGGAATATTCTGTTTTTCAAATGAAAATTTTGCAATAACAAATTAAATATAATTAAACTTAAAAATAATATTATTTTATAAAGTAAAATATGTAATAGGACAGTTTCGGAAAAAAGACTCCGTTAAGAAGTTGCATATATTGTACTAAGAATTTATATTGTATATCTGAAAATTTTGGAACATGCGTTCATTAATAAAAAATATATGGTTCTGCCATAAATTACAAGGTCAGTCTTTTGAGAAAAGAAAATGCATTTACAAATGATGAGAACTCTATGAGACATTGATCAAATATTGCTATCGACATTTACTCTTCTATGATTGATTCTAGACATTTATTTATTTTTATTCTTTCTATTTAGATGTAACATTGTCATATCCATTACAATTAGATGAAGAATATATTTATCGAATTGGATTAAAACCCAAAGAATTTATAAATTATTGTCAAGCTGAAGCTATGAACTTTATGTTTAATGATCCAATGGATTTTATTGACAGTTATATTAAAGACCATTTAGGAAAAGGTTTGAATATTGGCATCAATCAAGAATGTTTAGATCATTTGAACAATATTTAACCCTTTACGGCCGGCTACCAGAAAACAACAAGCAAAAAGTTATCTTTCTATATATTCTTTGTTGTTTAGTTATAGGGATCAATTTTTCGCTGCCGACTTTTTTAAAAATGCCGTACCCCCTACGGCAAAAATGTTGCCATTTGGCAACATCCGGCCAGAAAGGGTTAACAAGTTTATCCCAATAATGAATCTTTTGAACATGATGTATATGATTATATCGAGGTCCAAATCATGAAGTTAATTGATTCTCCAGATTTTGAATCACCACTAGAGGTGTAAGCCGTGCGGCTGAGCCGCCGACGAACTATAAAAATTTAAAGCCGCCGCCAGCCGTGCCTGCATAAATTTGGAAAAATTAAGCCGCCGCGCCACCGATGGTATTTGAAATTTAAAAGTTTTCGAGCCGCCGCCAGCCGACACTTAGGATTTTATTTATTTTTTTGCACATTTTTTTCTAGTAATGTACATTTTTGATGAACTCCAATATTATTATTTATTGTTCAGCTTAGTATTAGTTATTTACTTAATTATATTGAGATGTAAAATGAAGTTTCTACAAATATTTATTTGAAAATATAAACGATTGAATATTGATATGGACAAGTTTTTATTTTCTCATAATAATATAATACTTTTTAAAACTTCAAGCCGTCGCGCCGCTGGAGTACTTTCGTTACAGCCGCCGCGCTGCTGATGGCATTCGAAATTTTAAAATTTTCGAGCCGCCACCAGCTGGCAACCTTAAAATGTAACAGCCGCGCCGCCGATGACCCTGCCGACTTACACCTCTAAACACCAACTAATGGTAAATGGTCTCAAATACCTTGTCCTAGTTTCAATTCATCAACATTAAAAGTTATCAGTTATGATTTGAATATTTATCCTAACCCAGGACGATCGTTCCTGAAGCAGGATTCCATGAATTCACGGCAAAATAGCTGAGGAAACTCGGCATTTCCGGGCGGAACCCGGCTGGAAAATGCCAGGAATCCAATGGAGAAGTGCAGTAACCGTATCCGGCTACCGATTTTGACATGTTCCTGTCGGTTCCGGCCCAAACTAGATAAATCGGGTCATCGGATCCGTTCAACTGGAATACTGCTCCCGTGAAATCTCGGGAATACCATAGAACCGGCCGTTTCCGTGCCGGATTGTTCGATCTGGAAATCGAAATAATTTTCAACAAAGTATGCATGATAATTTAAATGTATTTGATTTATTGGAAAAAACTCAAGCAGAAAATGATCAAAATATTCGTTTATATCATGGTACAGATATTAAATCAATAAAAAATTTATGTCAATATGGCATAAATTTATATGAATGTCATCGTCTTAATTCTGATTTTGGTCCGGGATTTTATGTGACAGAGAATTTTGATGGTGAGTTTTTTTAATTTGATAAATATATATCTCGAATTGTTGATGACTTTTTAGATGCTTTATATAGAGCAGTTAGTAAAGCAAGGCGTAGTAAAACACTTGATGGTGTTGTCTGTTCTCAACTTCGTGATATCGAGTTTTATCAATTTAATATTCAGGAATTAAATGAAACAACAGAAAAATCTACTGATCCTCTTGAATGGTGTAACTTTGTGCAATTATGTCGTCGTCGATTTGCAGAATATCCACACATGTTTCGACGTGATGCTTTTCGTGGTTCTATTTGCAATCATGCAGAAAAAGTTTATCGAAGAAAGTATGAACGACCACAAGCAAAAATACTTGGAAACAGAAAACCTATACAGATATGCATCAAAATTACGACTATGGCATCAAAGCTTGAAGGTTCAATCTTGGGGATTTATATAATCGATATATCATCACAATGATACATTTTCTGTCTTTTCTTCATTGTTATGCAACTTACTTTTTCTTGTTCTTCAACTTAGTCAAGCTATTCCTTTTCTTTTTTCATTAGCTTATGTGTAAAAATAAGTTTATTATTGCAATAAATTCATATCTATATATATTAGTTTTTATTTACATAAAAAAAATCAATTTAAACAGTAGTCCAATAAACAACTAATAACGTGATGTCGACGAACTATAATCTTTCTTTCTTTTTGTTTTTCTAAATGTATTTATACCTCATTCAATATTGCGCAGTTTTCCCAATCAGATGCTTTCTTTTTTTTTCTATATTATGGAAATCATACGAATAAAGAGAAAACAATCTAGTCGGATATAAAAGATTAAGATGAGGAAAGATTTTTAAAATCTTATTGAAAAACAAAAATAAAACAAATTTTATTTATAAAAAGATATTTTAGAATTTAAATCAATGAGATTGTTTCAAGTTTCTAATAAATTATCAGCACCTCCTCATAGAATTAATTGATCAGTCGACTAATCAATACATAAAACACGATTTTCGTGTCCTTAAAGATCATAAAAGAGGAGGTTTTAATGATCGAATATCCCATAATTTAACTAATGTATCATATGAATCATATACAAAATAAATATTCCGACTTTCTTGGCCACATTACAGTTGGAATCCATTGACTATTTGATGAAAATGTTGATCGAAGTACATATCCTTCTACAAATTAATAATAGATTTTCGTCTTTCCAATCATTTATTTCAAATTATTATTATCCCGTTGAATCATCATCAGGTCTTATGTCAAATATTATAGAGCATATAAACCAGGCATTTCTTTTTTTGTGAGACTGTTTTGCTTGCAATATTAATGACATATACAAATGAAAATGTCTTGTCAATAGTCTTCCAATAATAGTTAATACTTACAATTCGTACATAGTCAAATATATCTCTAATGTTTTTAAGACGAAAGCGAGATAGATAGAATAAAATATTATTCTATATTTTATAAAAAAATATGTTCAAATACATTTGCTTAATAACACTTATCGTATACTGATAATCGTCAACGTCTTTTAAATTAGTTGAGTTTATCATTTAAAATATCAATCCTTTAGATATATAAGTTATAATGATATTTTCTATAACGTAACATATTTAGAAGAAAATAGTTTTCTTATACAGAATTTTACTAACGATAACAATTTTATTATTTGTTAAGAGGAAGAAAGAAAGACATAATAAATAAATTCTTCAGAATTGATTCTATTCGTTATGTTAAATAACCAATAATAACATAACAAGACTGCAAGAAGGATAAGATGAAATACGAACAATTGCTTTTCGTTTTCTACTTTAGTTGAATGATGTTTCCGTCCTACGTGAATCTCGTTCTAGTTTCATGTCTTTTTATATCAGTCGACAGTGGAAATGTCGAACAAATTGTGCTACGTGGTGTTCAAACTTCACGTATATATTAAAATTGTTGTATTTATTATTATAATAAACATTTAAATTTAGTTCTTTCAATGTATATTCCATCAAAACCATTTACTTGTCTGGATGGTTCATTAACAATTCCATATGAGTTTGTCAACGATGATTATTGTGATTGTAAAGGTAATTTATAATCAGAATTGTTTTTTTATTGAAGAAGAATAACTATTTAAATATTTTAGATGGTACTGATGAACCAGGAACATCCGCTTGTCCAAATGGACGATTTTTTTGTGAAAATAAAGGTTATGTTGGTTCATTAATACCTTCGCATTTTGTTGGTGATGGCGTTTGTGGTATGAAGATTTCTTCAAATACTTTTTGTAAAAACCTTTTATTTTTCTCAATAGATTGTTGTGATGGATCCGATGAATATGAAACCAAAACAGTTTGCAATAATACATGTTTGTAAGTATTTTTCGAAAACAAAGAAAATATTTAATTTTCATTCGTTTGTGAAAGATATTTTTTATATAAAACATCCGTTAGTTTTTTTGTTTTTTCGCGTCTCATATTTTAGTTCATCTCACAGTTCATCTCGTTCATTATTATTATTAAATATAACAAACAATGTACTTTTTTATCAAACAAAAGTTCCAAAAAGAAAATCTTTAAAACCATTTCGAAAATCAAAAATTCATTTATCAACAACGGAATCGTTCGTTAAAAATAAAACATTTCATCAACATGGTTTATTAATTGATAAATATTTAGATAAAACAATAAGTGATAATGATTATACAACTAGTTTCTTTTCATGGAAATATTTTCTTTTTTTTGTAATCATATTCTTTTTGATTAGTTTTATTTATTATTCTTACAGTAATCTTCTGAAATTATTTCGAGAACAACATAAACGTTCTGTATTAAAATATAGTGTTTAATTAAAAAATTAGATTTGTTTTTTATGAATATAAATTTATTCATAGGAAACAATAGGAATTGTATCAATGCATGTTATCTTATTTTCACATATACATCACAGATGTTGTTTTACTTTTATAAATGTTAATTGAAAATAAATCAAAATACTAACGCAATGAAATTAACTTTGGTATTTGTTTGTTTTTTAGTGAATTGGCTCAAAAAACTCAAGCTGAACGTGAAGCACAACGCGTATTACATGAAGCCGGTGTAGCAAAAAAGAAAGAAATTATTTCAAAATCTATTGCTATTAAATCTGAACGACAAGTAATTTTAATTGAATAAAATGAAATCGAAAATTTTCTTTTTTTTTGCTTAGACACATATTGATGAACTTGAACGAGATTTACAATCCGTTGAAAATGAATTAAAAGAAAAAGAAGGTTAATAATTTAATTTAAAACTACATTTTTTTAAATTTTATTTTGTAGAATTAAAACGACAAGCTGAAATACCTGAAAATCAAGCCAAAGAAAAACATCAGAAATTATGGGATGGTTCGTCTTGTTTCTTGAAATTGTATTTAAAATAATTTATATATTTAAATAGAACAACGTGCTGTTCGTGAAACAATTATACGTAATTATCAAATACGTGATATGTTTGCTGATTTAGATACAAATGGAGATTCATTGTATGTTATATTATTTGAATTCAATAGATAATTCATTTTTCCCTAATAGAGTATCCATCGATGAACTACAAAAACATACAGAACTTGATCTCGATAATGAAAATGAATTTACAATTGAAGAAGTTCGAGTAAGTCATTTGAAATTATATTGAATATTTTTTTATCTATTTTCTTATTTAGACAATATTAGGTAGTGATTCAGTTACTTTAGATGAGTTTAATACAACTGTATTTGATCAAATATCAAATTCATATAAAAGATTACCTAAACCTACGACACCAATACCTGAACCAACATTAGATTCTATTGCAACTCCATCATCATCAGTAGAAACTTCTACTGATGAAAAAAATATGGAAAGTCATGATGAAACACCAATAGCAACAGTAAAAGAAATAGAATAGAAATATTGATTTAACATTTTTTTTGTATTTAGTCACTTGAACATGAAAAACATATTCATGATGATACACCACCTGAATTTGATGATGAAACAAAACAATTAATAGCAATAGCTGATCAAACTCGAACTGAATTTGATCAAGTGCAAGGAAAAGTTCTTGACATTAAACGTCAAATAGAGTTTGTTCTTTAGATTGTTCACAAAAAAATATTTTTCTTTTTCTTCTAGAGATTTAAAAAAACAAGTTAATATTGATGTTGGAGTACAGGGTGAATATTCCGCATTTATTGATCAATGTTTTGATTATGAAGAACGTGAATATACATATAGAGTCTGTATGTTTAAAGATGCGAAACAAATTCCAAAAGGTGGTGGTGGTGATGTAGCAATAGGTTTTTGGGATGCATGGACTGGTCCAATTGAAAATAAATATTTAAGAATGAAATATGTCAATGGTGCTACTTGTTGGAATGGTCCAGCTCGATCATTAACAGTTACATTTCGATGTGGTATTGAACATAAAATAATTGATGTACGAGAACCAAGTCGTTGTGAATATGCTATGATATTTGAAACTCCATCAGCTTGTGATGAAAAAATGGCTGTAACATCTTCACATTCTACTCATACAGAATTTTAAATAAATAAACTAACTTTATTTTGATTAAGATTGCTTCTTCACCTTTGTTTTTTTTCTTCTTTTCCATAGTTAGTTTCTATTTTATTTGTGATCTTTTCTATATTGATGATAAGTATGTTATTTTGGCATAATATTGTTATTGTTTCTTGCTTTGTTTTTCTTTGTCTCTGTTCAATTTTTACAAACAAAATGTTTTATTGATTTATTTATTTTTTGTTGAGGGAAATGTAAAACAGAATTGGTGTTTGATGAATGAGGTAGGAAAAGAAAAAAAGAATGTTTTCTATTCATTAGAAATATTTTTCTTTTTGCAATAATAGATAACTAGAAGAGGGGCTCTAGGATTAATGATACCATATAAAATAGTAGAATATTTTGTATTAAATTTACTGAATACAAATAAATAATTTTTGATTATGGGATATAATTGAATCACTTTTACTCTATATGTGATCCGTCTGTAATTAATTTAAATACTTCTTCATGTCAGTCATTAATTTTGCTTTAATATAGGAAGCAAATTTATATTATTTCACAAAATTCCTCTCAAATAGATCATATGACAAAAAACGAAATAGTTAAAAAAATACAATCAAAGATGTTGAGAAATTTAGTAGTCAATACACATTTAATTTACATTAAATATACATTTTTGATTTTACTTGTTATAATATATAAATAATTGAAATTGAAATACTTATTATTAAAAGCCAAACATGTGAAACAAGTGATTGTCCTTTATTATACCAATAGTTTCCACCACTTGCATACCATCCTTGACTTCCAGGTGGATAACGATTGTAAGGTTGATTATAATCATTATTAGTGTTTGGTCTTTGCCATCCCATATTATTATTATTATTATTATTATTGAGCCAGTAATATTGTTGTTGTTGTTGCTGTTGTTGTGGCCTCCAGTTCGAATTAGAACCACCGTTATGAGTATATTCATGATTGTAACTTACTACATTGATACCCTCGTTAACATCATTTCTATGTGCACCAATTCCACCATAATTCGGATTTATTCCAGTTCCTACACAGTTAAATGAAAAAATACGTATAGAAACAATTATTCAATCATAAAATTATTTTACCATAATATGCGCCAGGATTTCCACCACTTGGATTATTCAATCCTCCTGACCATCCTTCATATGGAAGACCAGCCTTTTTATTTGGATTTGGTTGCCGACGAACACGCTCATGAGGCAATGCTTTTACTATAAATATCAATATTTATGTTTTTCTACTTTTAGTCTTTTTTTATCAATCAAGTTACTCACTTATTGTACAGAAAAATATATTAATAAGAAAAATGAGATATATAGTAGAATTCATTTTATTTATTTATGAACACGTGCGATAAAACAACTTTTTTCTCTTCTTTTACGTCGTTTTAGTTATGACATAATGAATATGACAATTTATACTTGTAGACTTCCTTTCTCTCTCTCTCTCTTTCTTTCTTTTTCTCATTACGCATTTACTATTTTTCTTGTTTGTACAGCTTCATACTGTTCTATATGTTCTTGACCACAGTATCCAAGTGCGACATTCATAATTGTCGAGAAAAAGTAACAGGAAAAGACAAAAAAAAAGTTTACACACTTGCATCATGAGTATTTTGTCACTGGCCGACGACGAAGAGAACATGTAGCGTAATAAACACAAATTTTTATGCATTATGTCTAGTGTAAATAAAAACTAATGATTGGCAATGATTCATGAAATAAAAGAATATAGCAATGTACTCGAAAAATATACATATTATGTGTTTACTAGAAGATTCTTAGAAAGAAAATACATAAGATAAACATAGTAGGAGACATTGTATTGTATAGAGTACACAGTAAGACAGAGGATATGAAAGATACGATAGTCTTTTCTCGATTCTAAAAATAAATATGAATATATGAGTTGATTTATTCTGTATACGATTGAAATGAATTCAAAATTTTTATACTTACATCAAGAGTTTATTATATCATCGAATATTGAATCAATGAATTTTATTCAAATCGATTATGTCGGAAGTCGTTTTTATGAATTTGTCAAATCACGTAACTTATCGATAAATACTTGCATGCTATTTTATTTCCTATACGTTTAGGAACAAATGAAAAATATGTAATGAATGCAAAATTAGATGTTAAGTATTCAGCTATTTTATCGTTTTACTTGTTGATTTTATAAGTTTTTCAATGAAATCATAATGCTATTTGTTTTTTAATGATCAAAAACAAAAATACAAGTATAACTACAGTACGATACTCATACTAGTGAGTATAATTACGTAGTATATTATTTGTTAGATGCAAGAATGAAGACAAAACAAAAAAAACAAAACAAAAAATTTTCGAAATAAAACAAGAAGAACATATCAGATTTTATTGAGCTCAATCATTTTTAGAACATGTTTAGCTAATATACGTTGTGATCCTAATGTAATCGATTTTGTTCCTTTACACATTTTCATTTGATCATCATGTAACGTGGGTGAACATTCTTTTGTATGAAAAACATGCATTAAACTTGTATCAATTGTACGAAAGACTTTTAATGTTGGTGATTGAACTAATTTATCATAGATTTCAACATCTTCTTTACCCCAACCACTTATTTCAACATTCCAATTTCCAATTGATCCTAAATCAGATTTATAAATTCCAAGCATACCAAAACCATATTGACGCCAATAACCCATATCATCAGATAAATGAAATAATGAAAAATTTCTTTGAATTTCTTTTGTTTCCCAATAATTTGGATCATATTGACTAAATATAATTGGAAAATAGACTTGTTTATGAAGAATAGTATGATGACGTATACGTGAAAATAATTCTCGAGTAAATATCATATCAAGATCAATAAAAAATAAAAGATCTGTATCATTAAAACGAGATGCACCATATGAACGTGCATAACCTCGTGTAAAATTTCCATTTTCAACTTCAATTAAATGTATACGTGTTGCTTGACGATTTTTAATAAATTGTTTAACATAATCAACTATTGTTGACATACGTTCACCACTATCTTCAGCTGTTTCCATAAGAATAATATAAAGATGTATATTAAGAAAATCTGAATCATTAGTACGCAGCACAATATGATCAAAATTAGTCAATAAACGTTTAAGTGTCGAAAGACGTCCACTAACAGGTACAATCATATTTATAGGAACAGACGAAGACGAGGAAGAAGAAGGAGAAGAAGAAGAATTTATTTTCGTAATCACCGGTGAAGTTATATTAACAAGATTAGGAGAACCAGCTCCCGAAGAAGATAATATTGCACTTGAATATGATGAGGATAATTCACGAAAGTAAAGCGGACGAAATTTTTGCACAACATATACACGTTTTCGTACAGGTACCTGAAAACGATACAGAAAAAATAAAGATTTATCAATTTAAATTTTTATTATTTTTCATTTTATAATTAAAATAACTAACCGACATTTTTTTTCCAGAATATTTTCTATAAATAAGAAATAAATCAAGTATATAATTCATTCCATATTTCGGTTCATATTTATAATAGCCATATAAAGTCTTTTTATATTCTAAAAATCGACCCATATTTCTTGAAATTTTATTTACTTCTTCCATATATGTTCGAACAACTTCATCAAAACATTGTCTATATGCTGGTTCAATTGAACGAACAGGTAATTCTGTATTAGCCGTATATTGGCTAGCAGTAAATAATGTATAGATACTCGGTAAAGTTTTTTCATATAAACTATCATTTTTTTGTCGTGAAAATTTATTATGATAATTATTTAATGTTTTTGTACGTGTTAAATAATCATGATTATTATTATTTGTTATAATTGATAGAGATGGATCAAATAAAAATGGAAATATGGTATCATTTGATATTGACGTTGACGATGATGATTGAAGAGTTTGATTAAAATATTTCTGTATAACATTCCATAAATGAGAATCTAGAAAACAAGATGGAGGTTATTTTCTTTTTTTCTAATTTTTTATATCTATACCTTGTTGTTGATTATTATTATCAGTAAATAATCGATATGTATTATTATATAATGACATAATTTGTTCAGCAATATGTTGATCAGGCATATTTAATACTTTATATTGTTGTTTTAGTTTGATTTTAATTTGTTCATTTTTAGTTTTTTGTATTAATTTCGAGAGATTTTTCGCATAAGATTTTATTTGATTTTGTATCGAAAGAATTTGATCATAAACATATATTTGACGATTTAATAACATATTTCGTTGTTCAAGTTCAATAATTCTTCGTTGTAGAGCAAAATTATGTACACGTGTAAATACACGTATATCTTTTATTGAATGAAGACTAACAGCACGTAAAATATCTGTTGAAACAAGATTTGAAGCTCGATAACCATCCGTTTTATTTGGATGATTAAATAGAATATGTTGCATTTCATATGACCATGTACATGATGTATTTGCATATTTATGTACACAACGACCAAGTTCAACATCTTCATGATATGTATAAAAATTCTTTAAACATTTTTTAATATGTGGAGTAAAACGAGCTAAAGTTTCGCGTGATAATATTATACCAGGACCACCCATACAAAAATTTTCATTTTCTGCTAAAGCTAATTTTCCATATTCTTCTTTTGTTCCCATACCAGGTTGACCTATATAATAAGGTTTACCTAAAAAACAAGTATATTTTATTTAAAAAAAGAATATATATGTAAAAACTTACGATTATCTATTGAACGAAGTAATTTTTCTAAATTATCTGTTCGTATATAAACATCATCATCAACACGCATAAACCATTCAAATTTATTTAAATAATGATCATAGATATATTTCATCATAAGAAACGATTTTTTCTGTGGTGGATATGTATCTGTAACTGATGGTAAACTAACAAGATTGATACGTGAATCATTTGTTGTTGAACCTTCACTAGAAAAAAATATAACTTGACCAGGTACTTTATCTGCCCACGTACGCATAACAGTTGGTGCACGTGTTGTTAAAAAATCTTTACTTGTCATAACAGCTATAAGAATTAATTGTTTTTTTTGTGATACACGTGGTAAATTAATTGATGAAACAAGTACTGTATTTGATCGATTATTATTTAATAAATTATTTGTATCATGTCCAGATGATAATTCATCAGTTATACAACGTTTAACATTACAAAGTAGAACAAGACCAGCTTGAAAACCAATAACAGTTGCTATAAGTAAAAATATTAATGATAACCACCATGATGGACCACGAATATTATGTGGAGATGGAAGTGTTTGACGAGGTGATTTTCGTTGTAACTGATTCTAAAAATCGATATTAGAAAATTTTACATGGACAATTAAATTGATCAATTTACAATTCTACGAATACAAATCGAAATATGTATGTCAATTTCTTCTGAAATATTTAAGTATCCTCTCAAACAACAAAATACAATCATATCATGACATACAGATCGAAATAATAAATATTATCTTTTCTTTTTCATGACAAATATACAAAATAAGACGCGCATACACACATACTAGTATTAAATTTTATACTTAGTTAAGAATTATAGATACGTTGATCCTATTTAATTTTATTCTTAAAATTAAACTTTTAAATAAATACGAATAGTTTCTTTTTTTTTATTTCTCCTTAGAAAATCAATATTAGATCTAATATCAACGAAGAAAAAACTGATCTGTTAACGAAATTTAATATTAAACTAAAAAATGAATGTATAAAGAGTAACTGAATAAATGAAAGTATTTTGTACTTTTTTCTTCTATATTTAATCCATCCTAACCTTGTCTATATAAATTTTAAAGAAGATATTATCATCGTTACTTATATATTGTGAAATATATATAAAAATAAACTAATTATTTATCTCAACTGAAAATACAATTCAAAATAAATAATAAACTTACAGTAGAAGAATCTGATAATATAACGGAAGTATGATTGATGGAATTAGTCTGAATATCTATTGTTTCGGATCGTCTATGTTTTGATCTATGATGATGTTGTGGTGGTGGTTCGTTGTCAACAAATCCAAGGAGATTTTCGATTATTTCAAAAATTTTTAATAAAGGCATGAAATGATTGTTATTTGTGATAGTAATAATAATAATAATAATATCGATTGTCTTAGAATCAAGAGAATAATTGATAGTGATAATAAATCATATATTAATAAATATTTTAAAATCTGAATAGATAATAATTATAGATTGTGACATGAGAACTTGACAAAAAATTACTCGTACAAATGTACGATAAAAAAAGCAAAAGTAATTTATTATGTAGGTAAATGAATATTAGTGTAATAAAACGAAGGAAATAAACTGGAATGAATCAAATAAATAAAAGAAAACAAAATTATTAATTTAATATTTTCGCACTCTATATTTTTTACTTGTTCGTATTAATGATGCAAAAATATTCGTTATCGAACGAAAGAAACAAAAACTGAAGTTGGAAAGGAAAAAAGAAAAAAAAGAAAAAGAAAAAGTCTGAGAAAGAAGGAGGAGAAGAAGAAGAAAGAAAAGAAAAGAATTCAAAATAATCATATGAAGCTTATTCACCCTTTGGGCAATAAAATGCACACATCGTTTGAGAAGCTCTTTAAGTTCAATCAATATAAGGGAAAAAAATAGTAAGTAGCGGTAAATGCAAACTTCAAAAGTAAATTTAAATTACATTCATTTATGCCTAAAAGTAATAATCAATTTTGTCTTCTTCTATTGATGATGATATTTGAAAAAAATTAGGGTTTTCTTTTTCAATACTAATAAACAATCGTCAAGTGATAATTATGATTTCATTTATTTATTCCTTTTTTTTGTCGATTTCTTTTGCGGAATGTTATCGATTCATAATTCGCCCACATACGATTTGTCATATGATCTCTTTTAATTGCTGTCGTCATCACAACTAAATCAAATATTTTTTATTGTACATGTGACACATTTAATCACTTCTTTTAAAAATTGCACATATTAGTAAAAAGTTAAAAATAATTTAGTATGATTTTGAAAAAACAAGAAACTGTAGGTGTATAAACACAATCGTTAAAGAAGATAAACAAAACATGATTTTGTATTGTACATGTTGTAGTAGCATACTTCTTTTTTTCTACGTCTTTTAAATAAATGCACTTAAAAAATAAAATTTATTATTCATTCACAATATATTTGATAGTTCTTTTTTTCTTATGTCAAATGTATTCATTTCATATTAAGCAAAAAACTATATACAATAATATGATTGAAGGTTATCAAAAATCTAATTTGAAATATTTCTTCCTCTTATTCTTCTATAGAACTAAGTTAATTTCGTATTAATTCTTATTTTTTGATGATTGTTAGTCTATTATTTATAGATTTTCATGGTTATATTTTTGTCATTGATATAAATCGCACATGACTTATTCTATAGATTTGAAAGTATCTTAACTGGAAATTCAAACAAAAAAGAAAGATTGTGTAGAATATATATTACAAATAAAATATTACGAACAAACCTGATGTGTAATATCAATGACAGAGTTTAATGTAGATATAACGATTAAATTATCAAATTTACCAGTCATTTTTGACATATCTCTTAAATGAAAATATTATATTTCGTTAACAAAAAAAAATTCGTTTTCATTACTTTCAATGTTATATATACTATTGTATAAGAAGAAGAAGAAATCCTAGTCGTATACTACTTGTCTTTTAGAACTAGAGAAGTATAAACAATGTCGTTATAAATTCTTTTACATTGTTCTTTTCTTCCAGATGTTTGACATCAATCGATCATAATTACTCTTATCAGTTAATGGGATATATAGAATGTTTTCTTTTTATATTACAATTGTAATAGATAATATCACAGCTGTATAATCTTCATGCGAAATAATATATGATTGATTTTCTATGTCGAGCTATCAATGAATTTGAATATTCTTATGCGAATAAGATTTGACACAATTGTTTCTTTGTAAAGAATTAATCGAATAAGAGTAAAGAATTGTTTACACCTTAAACTTTATAAACTTTAAATTTCGATTGTTTTTCTTCGAAATAGAAAAAAAACTGTCAAGTCTACTTCCTCACATGATGTACCTCGTCGACGAAAGAGGAAAAATTGCGTTTTTCTATTATTTTCGAGCGTTGTTGTGATGACACAGTATGAAAATCATAAAAATACTCTACTTTTCTCTAGGAAAATCATTAATATTAAATAAAATGATCGCCTAAAGGTCCATAGATGTCAGTATATTAATACAAAACTTTATATTATATAGCTATTAATCATAATATACTGTGAATAAATTCTATTTAAAACGATATCTATCAGAAATATTTTTTGAATATATTACAAATTATTTTTTTTCTCTTACAATAGATAAAAATGTATAAGAAATGAAAATTTAAAATCTTACTTCATTTTGATTTTCCAATCGATGTATTTGTTTCATAAGTTTTTATCTATTCGAAATTAGTATTGATCATATTTGGAATTTTTTTCATATATTAAACATATATATGTATAATTATCGTTATATAAAGTAACATAACATCACATGATTAGTATTTTTTTCTTTAAAAATTTATGTTGAATATATATATATATCTAAAAGACATGAAAAAAAACATTATCAACATCGAATTTGTAATTGGAGAATAAGATTACAGAAAAAAAAAAATAAAAAATAAGAAAAGAAATCGAATGAAATCTGACAAAAACAACATTATGTGTTGAATTTGCATCAGTGACGATGTTATTCGGATCATTTTTACCAATTCATAAACAGCTGTTCGATTCAGGTAAAGACAGAATAAATCTTCATATAAAATTAATGGCAGTAATAATCCCTTTACATGCTTGTTTTTTTTACCTTTGATTTCATAGATGAAAAATAGCTCGAATTTATCTTATTTACAATCATATGTGCAAAGAAGAAAAAAAATGTAAAATTCACCTTTTCTTTCCTGTTCCATTTTCAAGTCGACTGATTCATTCATCATTTTCTTTTTTATCGTCATGACAGTCAAACAAGTTATTTACTTAAATACATGTATGTATGTATGTCTCTTGCATGTTTTTCTTCCTATAATATAGACTTTTTCGTTCGCTTTAAATATACGTACACATCCTGTTGATCTGTATGAGTACAATCACAAGTTAAAATCATATATTCAAATGTTTGAATAAAACGAATAAAAAACCGCCCATTTTAGCAGAACAAATTCTATTCTTACTATTTGTCAACCTGATCTCATGAACAAGAACATCAGGCATTTACTTACATCATCTATTCTTTTCTCCATGTATATATATATATGTATGTGTCTCTCATTCCATTATGTCATAAAACAATACTACTTGCGCAATATTGTACATGTCTGAGAAATAAAATGACAAAAGAAGCATAGAAAATGTATATACTGATAAGAATAAGAACAATACTCAAATAATGTTACTTCTTTCATCTATATACTTTGTACAGAAGACTTATATGATTGTTCATATTATTGATAATAGTAAAACAGAAAAGAATATTTGAATAGAGAAAATTTTTTTTTCTCATAATGGTATTTTTTCAAAATTAATGGAATTATTCTTTTTTTTTTCTTCATAAATCATGTAAATCCAATAACTTATATGAACAAACACTTGAAGAACAATATGTAGTAAAAAAAATTCAATATATATGTTATTTTTTTTTTCTCTAAAATTTAAGCAATTGATTTTGAAATACATAACTACATATGTATTCAATACATTTTTTTGTATAAATAAATCAATATGAATAATTTTTGTTGTGTCAATAAAACATGTACTTTCGTTCGTCCTTAAACTACAAAATTAATATAAGAACATCTATCATGATTCGATTTAATAGAAATAAAGTAAAATATAATATATACCAAAGTTGAATAATTTCATAAAATTTAAGGACATTTCACATACGTAAGTTCTTCTAAATAGAACGTTTATATTCAAGAGTTCGTTTTTTCGATCATATCAAGTTAAAATTTCATTTATCATTGAATTCAATCATTCGAAAAATTAAAATTTATCTTGAAAAAGAATAGAATGTCAAGTGAGAGATCAATAATTCTATTTGATCTTTAGATGAAATTGTTCTGATCAATTGCTCGGCTTCTGAATAAAGACCGTTATTAATATTCTTCAAATCATCTAATATTGATCTTATATATAATAAATAAAATTCTTTGTTTCTTTTTTTCTGGTTTAAAATTTAAAAAGAAAAATCAAACAAACAAATAAAAAGACACAATTAAGAAATTTCACTGCATAGATGTGTGTTACGAGCGTTTAAGTTAAGTATACATATATAAATTATAGTCATTATTATCACGGGGTAATCAGACAAGCAGAGCACAGATCAAGTTAAGAATAATTATGTATTTGATTATAAATGACTAACATGTGCTTTATTTGATAAATCTCGTTGTGGTGGTTGTGGTTTAAAAGATGGACGAGGAATACTTGATTTACGTGGTGGAACAGGAGGTACAGGTTTATTAATTGATGGTGTTGTTGAAATTTTCGTATTATTATTATTATTATTATTTAATGAATTATTTGATGTTGATGAAACTAATGTTTTATTTAATGAACGTGTTTGAGATATTGATGTTGAAAGTTTAAGTGAAGGTGCAACAAGTGAACTTTTAATAGGTACTGATGGTTGTGGTCGATTATTTGTACGAAATGTTGTTGTAGGTTTTTTTAATGATGTTGTATTTGTTGATGCGGGTAATTTTGATCGATTTATATTCATTGTTGTAACTAAAGTTGATTTGGATTTAATTGGATTTAATGAAATTTTATTTGGTGAATGTGATGTATCAGAAAGACCTTGAAGAAATGTTGGTGATGGAAGTGGAAAATCTGTTTCATCTAGATTTAGTGAATCAGATTTTGATGTTATAGATAATGAACTACCGCTTCGATAATCTAAAAATATTTTATATAAAAATAAATAAAATTTATTCAAATTTTAACATACCATCTCGTTTTGAAGGCATAATAAAACTTTTACTCATTTGTTGATGATACTGATGATTGTTAGTTCCATTTATAGAATGAGATTGATATTCAGATGTAGTAGAACTTTTTGCTGTTCGATAAGATAAATTTTTTTGTGGTATTTGAAGTGATGGTAATTGTTTTCTTGGTAATGGAGTTGAACCAATTGTTATTGATGGTGTTTGATGATTAGAAATATTTATACGTAGATTTTCAGTTGAACTTAAATATTGTGAAGATGGTGTTGGTTTTAATTTTGGTGGAGATATTAATGTTGGTCCACGATTAATTCCTTTTGTTAATGATGGAATTGAATAATTTGTTGATGTTGATTTCGGTGACATACGTGGTAAAGCTGTTGAACGATAACCTGCTGATGATTGAACATGTGTTGGAGTAGGTTGAATAGGAAGACGAAATGATTTTGAAACAGGTAAACATGAATGATAACGTTCATTTGAATTAGATGATTGTTGTGATGGAGCAGGTGATGATGACATTGGACTAGGTGATGGTGGATCATTAAGAACACGTTCAAGTCGTTGACGTAATTCATCCATATAACTAGCAGATTTAATTGGAGAATTTTCATCATTATTATCATTATCTTCTTCATGATTATTATTATTGTTATTTTCATCATTAAGTAAGATTTTCGGTGAAACTAAAAAAAGGATAAAAAATTTCCAAGAAACAAAACTAATTATAATCATTTACCTATGTTACTACGAGAAATTAATTGAGTTGGTATTGATGATTGAAGACCATAGTATTGATTATGTGAATTACTAGTAGTTGATAGGACTGGTGTTCGATTAAGAACTTGACGATCACGAATTGATGAACATGGTGTAGGTGGAGAACATAATTCATTATTATTGAAATTTAATTGTTGTTCATCTGGTGTTTGAGATCGAGCAGCACAAACAGCAGCAAATCGACCTGATGATCGATAAACATTCATTGCTTTTTCCATAAGAAAATGATTAATTTTTAATTGTTGTCCAAACTAAAAGAAAAATAAAAAAATTTATTAATAAAAAAATCCAACCTTTTAAAAATATATACTTTAGCAATACGAATACTCGTTATCCATCGATCAAATTCATTTTTTGTATCAACACACATATATTTAATATATTTTGAACTTTTCTTTTGAATTAATGGATGCTAAGAAAAAAAAGAAAAATATTTCTTTCAATTAAATATTTCAATTATTTACCTTTAGTGCAAAACAATAATCACTAGGTGATTTAAATTTCTTTTTCCAACCAAGACCAAAAAATAATTCAACATTTTCAAATTTAGCCAAACACACAAGATCTTTCTATTTATATATAAAAAGAAAATCAGTAATCTTAGATTAGTCGTTAAGATTATTTTACTTTGCTTTTGCCTTTTGGCACAAAATAAAGACCTGATGAACGAAGTACACAAAAATGTTTTTTCCATGATTTACGAGATTTTTCTTTTAAATAAATAATTCCATCCATATCAGGAGTTTTTAATAATTCATCATAAACGAGCATTGTTTCGTCTTTACCCTATATTTATATATTCTAATAAGAATTTTTTAAATAAAAAAAAAAGAAACTTACAAGAAGTGAAGCTGTTGCTTGAAAAAGTGCATATTTTTCTGATCGTTTAGTAAATATCAATCGATTAGGTGACGCTGTTGGCCACATAAGTATAGCTTCAGTTAATTTTTGATGATCTTCAAAAGTACGTTCTAGAAAAACAGAAAATATATATATGAAATAAATGAAAATTTCCATACCCATATGAAGATCAGGTAAAATTTCAATAAGAGCATAATTAATATCAGGCTCTCGATGATTTTTATGAACAAGTACAAAGAGAACATCACGTATTGACATAGACTCATCAATAAGTATACTCTTTGTTGAACCATCATCATTATATGTACGAATCAATAATTTCGATGGATGTTGTGAATGAGGAGATATTGAATCATCTGTATCAATAATTAATGATGATGTTGTTTGTTTTGTTGTACTTGCCATTCCTACCATTGAACGACAAGTTACCTATTAAAAATAAAAAAAAATCGTATTATAGAATCATTGATATGATTTCTTACAGGTTCATCATGATTCGATGATGTAATTTTATCAGTTGATCCACTATCACTAAATGCCGAATCACAATCATCAATAGTATTTGTTGCAACAATTTTTGATATAAATGATACGGTTGTTGTTGTTGCTGTTGTTTGATTATTTGTATTTGATATATTATTATAAAGAGTGAGTGTATCATTGGTAATTTCATCACCAAGTCCACTTGAACAAGCACTTGAACCAGATGAACGTTGTTGTTGTGTATCTATATCAGTTGTTGTACAATCATTGATTGTTAATGTTAAACTAGCAAGTGCAGCTTCAAGTTGATCCTCAAGTGTACGAAGTTCATGAACACATCCATTTGTATTTGATATTGATGAAGATGTTGTTAATGGAGATGAATGATTTGTTGATTGTTTCATTTGTATTGATTTTTTAGTTAATGATGACGATGGAGATGATGATGATGATGATAAGGATGAAAGATTTGAATTTTCTTCGAATTGAATTTTAAAATCTCGTAATTCAGATATAATTGCGTCGAGTTCAGCTGAATCGTCTTCGTCTAAAATAAAATAAAATATTAAGATGAAGACAAATAAAATCAAAATATAAAATAATGTATAAATATATGATTTCTTTTTATGACCTCTTCATACTTATTCACGTAATAATGTGGTCAGTTTGTCTTGATCGTAGATTTGTCGTTATTACTCTTGTTATGCCTCTCCGAAACAATATTTGATATATGATAATGCCCTTTTTCTTTCTCACACATAGATATACATACACAGTTGTTCATATCCTCCTACGTGTGTATTTCCGATTGTCGATTAGAACAGACAAAAAAAAGGAAGAACGAGAGACAACTAGCAAGAACAACGTATGTTCACACATCTAGTTCCGACGGAAACAGTCGTACTTTCTCTATCTCACTGTCTCTCTCTCTCTCTCCCTCTGTTCTCTCTATATTATATATGCATCTATTGAAGAGAATATAACAAGAAGTACTATAATAGTTATGTAAGACAAACAGACCAATGTTGTGTGAAAGAACATACACTGTTCAACAAGAGATAATGAAATGATGATGACAAAAAGCTTTAAACACTACGTGTCGTCGACAGATAGAATTGAAAAAGACTATTACAGATTTAAAATAGACGAAATTAATAACATAAGCCTTGATTCTTGTATATATATCACCTTCATTTACATTTTTTTAAGACCTTACGTTTATAATATGCTACTAGTCTCGAATGGAAATTAAGAGTAAAAAAATAAGTCGAAGGGTCATATTCATTGATGCCCTTTTTTCTAGGATGACTGAATTCACAAGGACATTCTATATATAACGATGCCAATATATTCAAAAAGAATAATGATGATGTAATCATTAGTATCTTATTTCATCTTATTACAAACTCGATCCTATCACATCACTAGTTTTATAGATATTAGAACAGTACTATTTGAGATTTGATACAATATTATCTCCTTTTTCTTCTTCTCCTTATTTGTATTCTCAATAAATACAATTATCTTTGCCTACCCTACCTTTAAAAATTTGTTCTAGATTGTAAGAAGAAGAAGAAAAAACTTCCGTATTTGATTGACACTTGCTCATCATTGGTTGAATAATTCTATCGTCTGAAGCTGTATTATGTCGTTCCACACCCTGTCACTTATTCATACATGCATAGAAAAGTTTGGCTCGTTTACTACTAAGATAGTTTTATCATATTACATCATTCCTTTGTCTGATTAAGGAAATGTATAACACACACACACCGTTCATTCTGTCACATCTATCATTATCGTTTATCATATATAATATTTCATCGATCGATGCTTATTTCTAGGAAGCATTTATAAAATAATTGACATGAAGCGTCTTTTTCTTCTCATCATGATTTGATTTTTGATTTATGTTTAACTGAAAAAAGAAAGTAGTTGACAATGACTTACCATAAAGATGAATCGAACATGGAGAATATGAACCATCTATATGATTTATCTGAGCATGTCGCTAGAAAAAAAAAAGAATATAAATATATAAATACATACATATATATAGACATATATATTCTGATTTATTTCACTCAAAAATTCACCTCAATATGTTCATCATCCATAAAATATATGTATGAAAAAAATAACTACTACTTATCGAAAGAATGAATCAATAAACGATCAAATAAGAGAGAGAATACATGGCCTGTACAGTTTATTGAACATTCTTCTTTCTCATGTACTCTTTCTTTAATCGAATCAATATATATATATATTGATGCAGAAGTTCAAGTAAACTAGTGATTGAACACTTAAGGGTCGTTATTCTGACGCGTGCACATATGTCTGAAAATAAATACATCGTATTCAAGGGAAAATGAGGTGAAAAACAATTAGGTTAAGAACAAATACATCGTGCTTTACAGGAGGCAAATTATTTCAGACATTTCTACTAGACAGAGAGAAGATAACAACGTGAGGGTCAAACACATCTGCTTTTAGTAATGTTCAGTTGATATATGTAGAAAAAAACAATAGAACTATAAATAATACAAGCATATTTACAAGACTAGAATAATACAAAAATAAACGTGTTCAATATTATCAAAAATTGAGCTAATTAGGAAAAAAGAAGAGTATTGTTATATTTTATTGTTTTCTCTTAAAAATAGATTTAGATAAAATTCATTATATAAGGATCAACTATTTATAATCGATAATTGAGAAAGATAGCATTGCATATGGGATTAGTTTATAAATAACTGATTGAAGAAAACAAAATTCGATCTGTTCATTCTTTCCAATTAATAATAAACAAAACAAATATGAGAATCTCAAGAAAAAAAATTCGAAGTTTTTTTTTATGTTATTCATTTATCCGAGAAATAAATCAATCTCGATAAATTCAATGTAGAAAAGAGGTTTAACAAATAAATCTATGTTAGTCATTCACTTAGTTAAGCAAACAAATGACAAGGTTCTCATACATCCGTAATAGTAAAAGAATGAAAAGTGAAATACAAGTATATGTAAATATATTTTACGTCATTTTATTTAGCTATTTGTAAATAAATATTAGATGATAAATAAAAAAAAAATTATCGTAGAAATTCTTTACATATTTATGACAAAGTTTTAAAACAATCAATGTCTTCGTTATCTACTTATATTAATAATGTGATATATTTCACTAAATCAAAAGTTAAATATATATATCTATCATATTCTAAATTGTGATTATTTATTCATCATTCAAAAATAGTATCATCAATTTTTAAACTATTTTTCTATATTAGCATAACTTAAATGATCATTTTTAAGAAATATAATAAAGAATTAATTGATAAAATCTTTCATGATAAGTATAGGTTGAAATTTTAATATTTATTTTGCAAAAAAAAAAATTTATGAATATGAAAATATTTTTTATTATGATCTTATCGATTTCTTCATTATATTTCTTTAGTTGAGATGACAATAAATGATTTATACTGATTTTAGATAAAAATTTTTTTATTGTATGAGACTGTATTACTGGACAATGGGAGAGATACTGTATTTTAAGTATACATTGAATAGATGTGTTCAATGATCTATGAAAATTATATGAATAGAGGACAAAAGTCATATCTCTACCTTCATTTTTTGACAATGAAATCATGCGTGTCAGTACATATTTAGTGTGTTTTGTCCGTCTTTCAATTTTTTTTCTAATCATATTCTTAATATAACTTCAAATTCCCATAAGGAAAAAGATGCTGTTATGTCCTCCACATACATAATTTTTCTTTTACTACAATATGTAATCAACAATATATATCACATCAAACAAAGACTATCATCACTCACTGCTGTTCATTTCATTTATCAACAAGCATTACTAGTAGTATAAAACGTGTATATGCATCCGTATATGCAACCTTGACAATAGAGTACATCTCGCTTCGTCCACGCTATTAACCAAACAAATAGACTACTCCTCGTTCTCGACAGATATGTAGAATAGAACGACAGAGTTCAATATGCAAAACTGACAATAGTAGAAAAAGGTCAGATTATGATAGTACTCATATGATCGTGCTTGTGTAATGAAGAAATCTAAAGCACGAACACAATTACTTGATGAACGACTTCTTGAAATAGACACACGTACACATATTTCGATAGCTTATGACCTTGTTCTAACATCAACAAGCAATGTACAGTAAATGTCTCCGTCCGACTCTACTAATAGGATGGGTAGACTATGAAAGACATATCGATTTTGTAATGTCCCCTAAAGCCATTCATCGTTTTCCCCCTTTTACTATATTTGTCTATGTCTCTCCTTCGATTGCTATTCATTTGTGCTGATTTACTTTTTTTTAATGTCTATTTCCTTCGGTGATCGTATGGATCTTCTAAATACGCTGCTCTTCATATAGCCTTGATAGATGCGATCTAATTTCAAATCATTCATTTATGATATATGAGTCAAAAAAAAAGAAACAGCGTTCGAAATACATACAGTTCTTGAAGATGTTTGTATAAAATTTTTTAATGCACGATTTGCAGCTCGATCTTCCCCATTCTCATTGGGATTTTCATCATTATCATCATATTCTTGTTCAGATTCAGATAATTCTGAATCCCAATCTGGAATTGATGGTGAATGATGTAGTTGATGGTAATTTTTCGAAGGTACTGATGATAATTTTACAGATTGAATAGTTAATTCTTCGGATGTTGTTGGTTCGTCTTCTTCTTCGATCGACGACATACTACAACGTCGAACAAGAAGACGATTCATGATGATAGTAATAATATGTTCTTAAATAGACTGATGAATCTAAAATGAACGAAGAAAATGCAGATCGACAATGACAATAAAATCATCAGAGAAGAAAAGAAGAGGGAGAAAAAACGAGACATACAGAAAAAAAAGAATTGAACACATGTTGACGCATTTCTTGTATGCAAGATATATGTACTATTTCTCTGTCTCTCTCTCTCTTTCACTGTTTTCAAGGAGCTCTTACATATATATGCCAAGACCAGTCGTGAATTGACTATGAAATATGAGTTAGAAAATGTAGAAAAGACAATGAATTCAATTAATTATGACTACTTTTATATGATCAAATCTACAATAGATATGAATGAAACTGATAATAAAATAAAATGCATAAATTTTTTAAGTATGTATTTGATATCAATTACAAATATATAAGAAAAAAAAACTTACTTCTCAATCTCATGTCAATATTTTTCTTTCTTTACATCAAAATGCCGCTGTCCTATATACATATATATTCAATACTAAAGTGTGAAACTGATTTGCAATTGATAAATCAAAGATTGTCTATTAAAAAGATGAAATTTAAATAAAACTGCACATGCTCTTCCGTTTTATCAATTTTGTAGAATCAGAATTATTATACATTCATACTATTATTATTGATGAATAAAAACGTAAAAGATATTTATCTACATAATACATACTGTATGCATCAAATAAGATAGAAAAAGAAAAAGAAAAAGAATCTGAAACGAATTATACGTTCGTTGATCTTCATCACTATCCATCCTACAAGCTATGCCTATACACGATGACAAGTTGATCGATATTCATAAATGGATGCGTGCGGCGATGTTTCTTTCCCTCTCTCTCTCCCCCTCTCTTTCTTCTTCTCGTTGATAATCATATGTATCGGCACATACGCAACGGTCGATGAGCAATATCTCTCTCTCACACACATCAGTGAGCGTTTGTTCGTTCGTCTTCGATTTCTCACTTTTTCTTCTCTAATAAATACTCTCTTTCTCTTCAGCTTTAATATACATGCATACACACACAAAGCACAAAAAAAAAAGATATGGAGGCAATTATTGAAGGATAATAGAGTGTTGGCACATCTTCTTGATTAGCTGTCTGCTGATGTTTCTATTGCAATGTGATCGATTTATGCAACATTGTTATATGTATATATCTATATATGTGACATGAATGATCATGCATACGAGCATTCTCAGCCGATAGCAACACAATCACCCGACACAATATGTTTGTTGTTTAGCCAACAGGTCATATACTGCTTGTTAACTTTGTCGGCGACGATTGGCAGGCGATAGAAATAGAAGAAAAAAAATGAATGAATGAATGATATCATCTTATCTTCTGTCCGGCACCCGTCTTCATCTATTCGTCGTTAGAATAGAATATTATACGGACAGCTGAACAAAAGTTTATTCGTATCAATCATGATAAACTATTCTAGTTAGAAGTAGTTTGGCTAGACAGAAATGATTGAAGAAATTCGATGTCAAAGATGTGTATAAGAGATGATAATGATAGTGATGAGATACACTTGAAAAATGATCCATTTAACATTTCAGGTATAGGTTTGTATTGATAATAAAATATTAGAGTCAATTCTCTTTCGTTCTTAATAATGACTATATAACATCTTATTTGAATATAATATCTTTTCTATTACATTAGTATTCACTTTTTTTTATTTGTCATTTTTTCAATTAATACTCTTCATGATATGCTTGTCAATAAAATCATTATTTTTTTACGAACAATTGTCGATAAATTGTCTTTTTACTCTATAATTATCTATGTTCTCTCACTTTATATATATATACGCCTACCATCACATTGACTAAATATACGTAGACAAAGTAAAGGTGACAACTGTTGACGGATTTATCTATGTATGATGATTGAAATTTAAGTAAGAGAAGAAAAGAAAAATCAAATAGATCAATCTTCTTTTCTATTTTATGTATTATTTATTACTATCATATGCCATGTGAATTAACCACAAGGAGGAAAAAGATCAAAATCTGTTGAAAGAAGCACCAGAAGAAACAGCTTATCGATCGAATATATCTCTTATGCAACATATATACAGAGAGAAAAAAAGTGAATGCGTATGTGTACCATATGAATGAATCGATACGTTTGATATATGTGTAAGTACTGGTATATTACTGTGCTTACCGTATGTGTATGTTTGTTCAATTTAATTGGAAAAAAGAAACAAGAAGAAAAAATGCGATTGAATCATATGAATTATATTCGACCTCGATTGATCGGCTATTTATTCTTAACCATTGAATAACATAAGATATACACACCTTCCAAGGCAAATGTACCTACATTTATAAGATGAACAGAAAAAATGACCTAGCTGATATGGTTATTTAAAACAAAAAAAAAGATGAAAAAGAAAAAGAGTGAACGTCAGCCATGAAGTATATTCCAATGACATTTCATATCAACAACAAATCAATCTCATTAAACGATTTTCGTACATGTTATCATGGTTAAAAAAAATTACATTCTCCTTATACATTAATATTATAGTTCAATCTTATTTTATACATTGACTTTTGTCCTTGACGACATTATCCTAATAGATAATCATTTTCTTTTCATATTAACGTTAAAAGTATTTTATATAGAATTCATTCTTTGATTTATCTTGATCATAAATATACATACACATATATATTCGATTAAGAAAAAAAAAGGAACTAACCTTTAACGGTAGATTAAAAACTAAAGTATATTAAATTTTATGGTATATGAACCTTAAAGTTTTTTGACGAAATATTTATTTAATGCTTGAAATTAAAAAAAATTAATTTTATTCTATGGCGCTCATGAAAAATTATTATTTCTTTCATAATTAATATTCAATGGGTACTAAATGTAGTTCATCGAAAACATCACATATTACTCCATCAATAAATATTTCCCATAATCAACTTAAAGAATATCATAAATTAACAAATATTCCTGAAAATGAAATTTTAATATATTATCGACAATTTTTAAATATTAGTCCAACTGGACGAATGACATATTCACAATTTGATAATCAACTTAAAACAATGGGTATAACAATGGATGGAAGTAAAGCAATATTTAAAATGATTGATAAAGATAATTCTGGACAAATATCATTTCAAGAATATCTTCTTTCGATAGTTACGTTTTCTCAGCAATCACAACCTGAACAACAATTAGGTGCTGTTTTCGATACATATCAAGCACTATCTCGACAAAGTATTAAGCAAACATCTAATGATTTACATATTCAAGGTATGACAAAAAATGATATTGAACATATGTTGAAACGAATGCATCCAGATTTATCGAAAGACGATATTGAAGAATTATCTAATCGATATATGGATAGTGATCAAAATAAAAATGGATATATTAGTAAACAAGAATTTATTGCTGCATGTATGAAAAATCCTAAACTTATGGAACAATTAGGACATAAGATTGTTATTACTAAAATTGATACAAATGAAAATAATGAATAAAATTGTTGTTGTTGTTTTTTATCTGTTTATTTATATAGTCAATAGAAGAATAGATAACAGAATAGTATGACTAATCTTAGATTTTATTTTTGTTTTAATAATACTAATAATAATGATATTATTTTGGTTTTTTAACAAAATAAATTATAAGACCAATAGTTATACCTATTGCAACAATTATCAATACAATCGAACAACATAGAATTTTTTTTCGACGAATTGCACTCTAAATAGAATATTTCTATAGTTCTTTTTTAGAAAAAAAAAAATGTCTTTATACTTGTAATTGAACAGTTTTAGCTATATTAGAAGCACCAACCATGACATGAGTTTCTGTTTTAACAACATCTGCTTCAATATTATCTAAGAAAAATATTAAAGTTTGAAAAAAAAATTATTTTATAAATTAATATATATATATCTACCAATTAATTGATTTTGACCACTAACAAGTTCAGAAAAATCACGATGAATTTCATGTAATTGAACAATATTATCCTGAACAAAAAAAAAAAGAAGAATATTTATTCGATAAAATAAAATACATTTAAATTACTTCTAATTGTCTCAAGTCATCATGTCGTTCATCGAGACTTCGTAATTGACTTTCATCTGTTTTTTGTAATTGATCAGCACCATAATAAATTGGTTCGTTGGCTTGTCTACGATCGATCATTTACTTTTTTTTTTGAAAAAAAAGTTTTAAATAAATATTTTATTCTATTCTCTATATCAGTGTCAGTGAAATAATAACACGACGAAAAAGACAAGTATAAATAGATAACAGATAATAATTTTTTGTTATAAAGTAAAGATATCATGATCTATTGTGTTAGTTTATAATAAATAAACAAATATGAATAATTGATTGATTCTCAAGTAAACAAGAGATTTTTCTATGGAAAATAAAAGTATGTATTTGATACAAGCACTTATATAGATTGACTAGCATTTTCAATGAGTTTTTTGCTCTATGAAACAAACAAAAAATTTTAATATATTGATAGAACTTGAACAGAAAAGTTAAAGTTTTCTTTTATTTAATAACAACAATTAATTATCATACATCAACAGGCTTTATAGTCGTAGTAATTGATGGATTTTCAGTATAATCAATAGCTGGATATCCATAGATGAGATTCACTAATTCACATTCAAGCACGGAATCTGTTATTGAAACAACACGATTTGAAAAAGCTTGATTAAATATTTCATTAATTAAATTTTGTCCCTCAATAATCATTTGAACTTCTGGATCAATACTATTTTGATCAAGAATTGATATTCGATTTTCATCATCATTATTATTATTATTGCTAAGATCTTCTACCATCTGTAATTTCTACAAAAATTACTATGAAAAATATTGTTCGAAAAACAATGAATTTTCTCAAAAATAAATACCTTTGATAATGATGGGGAAGGTTTACTTGATGAATCACCATCTAGAGACATATATATATGAATCATAAAATAGTAAACAAAAAGTAATTTGATAAAACTAACCTTGAAGTTTTGGTTGTGGCGCTTGAATAGTATCTGATTTAATCTGATTATGTTTTAAATATTTTGAACGCTTTTTACCTATACAAGCTCCCATTGTGAAATAAAAATAACTGAGTAAATTTATCGTTTATATGCTTATAATGAATTGAATATATTTGAGTGCTGTTGTTTTTCTTGCTTGCTCTTGGATTTTTTTCTTCATTCTCTTCTTGACTCATTTCTTACTAAACTAGAGTATAAAAACGAGAAAAGTATGACATAAGTATGCCTCATTCAGT